TCAGTTGAGGCTGAGTGATGTACTACGATGGAACGCAACGCCACACAGACATCGACATCGACATCGACATCGATGGTCATTAGCAAAAGATGACGACGATGGAGCCGGAGATGAAGCTGCAGATGGCGATGGCAATCGGAGATGTTGCGTACTCGTAATTCTTCTATAATGGATCTGTTATCTCTCTGTGCTTAATGGGTTAGGTTAGAGCCGAAGGGGCCAGAGCTTTTTCTGCCGGAGGAGGAGGAGGAGAAGGAGGAGCAGGGGCACAGCGCGTACGGCATTCGCTGCGAGGCAAAGATGACTGACAGCTCTTGTTGGTATGGCTCGCCTGGTTGCCTCTGCCGGAGTATACTTAAAATTTGAAATTAAATAATTAGTTGTTGGCTAAGTTTTTTCCCCGCTCGCTCGCACGCCACTTGCCTGGCTGACTAGCTGCCTGGTTGGCTGGCTGGCTGGCTGGCTGGCTGCGTGGTCCGAGCAGTGTAATGACCTTTTAAGTACTTTTAAGATACTAATCGCCTGGTTCTCTAGCTAATGGCTTGTTGTGGCTTGTTTTTGGGGCTTGTACTTCTCGTCGCTGAAACGAGAGTGCAACAAAGTCGCCACTTGGATGGCACTAATTAACGTCAGAGCGTTGCTTTAGGGCTGCCGAGCGTTAAAGCCCATTTTCGTAAAGTTTCTCTGATGCGTATTAATTAAAATTTTGATAAGCGCCAGCCTCCGCCTCTGCGCGTTCCAATAAAACTTGAAAATAAATTACACAAATTTGTATCTCGGTTTTTTATGTGGCCCTTGTCGTGCCTCCTCTTCTAGGTGTGGCGCTATTGTCGGCTGCGGCGGCATGGCTTATCGCAAAGTATCTACAAATAATGGACGACTAATAGGCATCTGCCCCCAACACCCCCCACCCTTTCATATGCCCAACGGCTTGGAGCTCTCAAGCATTTTGTCAGGCCTTAAAACGAGCGCCATTTAGCAGCTGCTTGCTGAGAGAGCTGTGGGCGAAAGTGAGGCTTGTGTGGAATGTCTAGAACCGTTGAGACTCCAAGTATTGGGGAATCAGGAAAGTAAGCTGAGAATCAAATGATGGATGTATTGAGGCTATTGAATTACATTTCGAAATGAACAACCTATGAGAAAGTATGAATATCTAACAATTAGCAGCAATAGCAACGAAATTTGTTTGTTGCATTTCAAGAATTTTCCACAAACCACGTCAAAATGGAATATCCACTGCAACTGCAGCAGCATGAAATATGCAAGCCATATCATGACATACGAAAATGATGAAATACCAACAATTGTTCGCAATGGATAATTACCACACATTGCTAACTGGAAACTATGCCAATGCCCAGGCCTACTTTTTCGGTGAGAGATACAGAGATATTTCGCACAATTCTCTGCACGCTCTCGCATCAGTTGCCCTTGGTCTGACAGCGCAGCTCGACTTAAAGTTGAAAATATTTTTGGACTTTTAATTCTTAAAGCCAACTCAACGATTGCTCAGAGCTGGAACTGAACACAGATACACATATACATATATGCGTACATACATATATAAATTGTGTGTGGTTAAGCTCGGAAATGCCAAATTGAAATGAATATATGAAATGCCAGAAATGTGCCAATTGAAAAAATTCGGATACCCAACAGAGAGCAAATGCGCAAAAGAGAGTCCTATCATATTTCGAATAAAATAATTGATCACTGCAAAAAAATATAAATATTTGCATACAGATATTTCCGAACGGGTTTATAGTAACTATAAATTAATCCCATTGATAGAAATGAATTTCTACAGCGTATCCGCTGGTTTGGCATTGCCAGCGAATATAAATTGCTGAGTTTTGTTTATGTCGTTTTGGCAGTTCATATTTAAATTGGTTTTGCCAACATTTTCCAATTAACGCGAATGCGAAGTCTGCATTGCGTTTAACAGTCGTGCAATAAATATTGAATATTAATTTCATAATTCAAGAATTGAATGCAATTACGCATTGGCCATTAGATAATTGTAATACACACACACACACACACTTATACGCACACATAGCGACACCCACACACACAGCTAAACGAGCTTAATCACTCAGATAGAGAGGTTAACCCCGAGCTTGAGCAAACAATTGATATGGCTTTAATGCCAGGCTTTTACTTACACTTCAACACTTAATTATTATATTAATAGGCATATCTATTTTGGCTCTAATTAACCTTTGACATATTGTGTGGGCTTCGAGCGTAGCATTTTGACAAATCAGCAAACACTCATACAAAGGCAACAAAGGTGATAGTTGAATAGGGGCTGGCAGGTGAGCTGGTAAGCAGGTAAGCAGGTAACGGCGGCCGGGGAAGGTTATCCAAAAAGGCCGTCAGGCAGTCACGACTCGTCATGCTTATTGTGTGTGAGCGAGTGTGTGTGTGTTAGTGTGTGTGTGTGTGTACAATTTGAAGCGACTCGCAATTACCAACGACACGTCAAGATGTGAAATTAACACCGTCACACAAAACCCAGACCCAGCAACTGACAGACAGACAGGCAGACAGACGCAATGAGTGGGCGGCAGTCGGGCAGACAGACATATTAATGTATCTGGTATTTAACATTCAACAACAATCACATTGTGTGTGCGTCCGTCTGGGCGTGTATGTGTGTAGTTGACGTTCTTGGCTCGAAAATCATTAAATCACAAGCACACACACACGCACACACATACAAACAAGCAACATGCAGAAAAAAGCGCCTGGCCCCAAGTATGTGTTTGTGTCAGCGACACAATTGGCCGCCCACCCGCCGTCAGGCAGCCGGCAGCGTGGAGCGCCACACGCATATCCTGGCAGGCAGCAAACAGCAAGCACACACTGATATAGAGAAACAGAGAAAGAGTGTGTCTGAGCAGGCGACAGAGGGAGAGAGAGAGAGAGAGATGGAAAACAGAAGAGAGCTACGCAACCGCAACACGCAATACTCGCATTTCATTAGACACTTTGCAGTGACGACTCCTATTACTCTTGCCGAGCGCCAGGAGGAGGAGGCGCCGTGGGTGGAGCACAAATAGAGGGCAACAATAGACATCGTTGTTATAGCCAAAGGCGTTGCTCGAAACCAACAAAAAAAGTTGCACTCGACTTGGATGAAAGACCAGCGAATGCCCTGTAGACAACTCCACTTTGAAGTCACAGTCATTTCCAAGCCAAGTTATTCGATTTATGGATAAACAAATATGAATATTTTTCAATTAAGCAATCTTTTTCATTTAAAACGCTTAGAGAATGAATATAAACTGTAGATAGGTGCAAAAAGTCTTTTTCATTTAAAATTTGCATTTACAATTTAACAAGAACTAAAGCATAGATATAAATTTTGTAAAGTTTTCTGCTCTTTTTAAATTTAAAAATTTAGCTCAAATATTATTTATTTTAGTCAATTTAGTTTAATTTTATTTATTAATTTTTTTGATAAAGTAGGCAGAGATAAATGAAATGATTGAAATTTTATTTATATTCCTTTTTATAGACAGCATATACGTATACCACCCATTGAACGAGCATTTTAAAGGATACATAAAAGAACTGTACATAAAAGCGGCAATGGCCCGAGGAGCCTACCCCAAAGCGACCAAGTTCAATTGGGAATGTTGTCCAAAAGAACTAAAGGAAGTTGACTATTCCATATTTACCAACGTTTTTTTTTCTACTATGAGCAGAGTAGAAAAAATTTCAGGAATTTTAAAAGTAATTAAGTTTTTATTTTTATTTTATTTTAATTACTGCAACTCGGAATGGGAAAAAAATTTTCTCAAAACTTTGTTTATTTACGTACTTCATGACATGTTCAAGGCTTATCGAGTTTGACCTAACTTGAACTACTTATTAACTAATTTTTTATAAATTCACACAGTAATTTAAAAATACCAAAATTTGGTTCACTATGAACATTTGTTGGTTTAAAAGCAAATATGTATATAATCAAAAATAAAAATACAGAATGAATTTCAGCATATGAGATAAATTAGAAACTTTTAATTACACAATACAATTACATATTATTTTAATTTTGCTTTTGGAAGTAAAGCCTAAGTTAAAAGTATATATATTTTTGTCATTTGAATACATAAAATATATATATAAATATTTTTTTAATTAAAAAAAAAAATGTTTTTCAAATTATTTTCTGTAACACATCATGGAGTACATATTGAGTAAAATTACATTTAAAATTGACAAATCTCTGCATATTAATATTTGTAATTTATGATCTCGTTAAAGGTATTTGCTGATGCATTGCTGCATGTTCAGTATGATCGCCTAATTTCCTTTAGTTCCACGAAGGACATTTGCTGAGGGGAGTGCGAGCTCGAGGAGCGCGTGCACATTCAAATAAAAAAGCTTCGAGTCGTTACAAATGAGTCTGTCATTATTCATATGCCGCGCTGTCAAGGAACCTGCCCAGCTGAGACTTTGCACATATTTTGTGCGCTTTTTCAACGGAACTTGGCTCGTATCCTGGCTCGCTCGCTAGCTCGCTTTTCTTTTTATTTATTTTTCCCTGTTGTTTTTGCTGTTGCTGTTGCTGTTGCTACTGCTGCCACCCAACAAATTAATTACTAACCAACTTGAGTGGTAAAATGCTTTTCTTGTTTAGCTAACAACAATTTTTTGTTTTCTTCTTTTTTTTTGTGTGTTTTGCTTTTTTGTTTTTTTTTTTTTGCCTCGACGTTTTTGCTGCTGTGTTTATTTTTACGTTTTTTTATTTTTTTTTTATTTTTTAATATTATTTATCAAAATGTTTGCTTGAAGACTTGAAAATAAATTGCCAGAGATTAGGGCGACAACTTTTCATTTAGCTAGCTGCCTTAATTTCCGGCCACACGCATTGGAAAATGAAAATGTAACCCGGCCCCAAATGAAAAATGGTTGTCTCTCCTAAGGGGCGTCATCAGAGAGCGGGGGTGTGGGTTTTCTTTTGCTTATCTTATTGTGTTATCACTCACCTGAAAATATGTTTGACCCTTGTCCACCCAGCCGATGGCCATATCCGCGCCAGCCAGATTCCCATCGGGCGAGAATCCAAAGCCGACATAACCCAATGTACGTGCCTGTATTTCAAATGTTATATCCTGATTAATGATTTGCCATAGTATGCGAAAATCCTCATTCAAATCGATGGCATGATCCCAGACGGGCGTCGCCTGTGAAGCTGCTGCTGCTGCCGCTGCCGCTGCTGCTGTTGTGTTGTTGCTGCGAATGGTCAGCTTGCTGGCCGCTTGCGCCGTGGCCAGCAGCGAGAATAACAACAAAAGCGAGGCGACCGTGTGGCAGGATATAAAACATGTGATTAACGATGACCGCCTTGAACTTGAATGCGTGCCAACTCGTGTTGCTCTTGTTGAGCTCTGTATTGCTGTTGTGTGTGTTGCTGTTGCTGCTGCTGCTGCTGTTGTTGATACTGCTGCTGCTGTTGTCTGCCTCATTTTGTGCGCCATTTTGTGCAAAGTTTTGTTGGCTGCTTGGCTTCAGTAAACAGTTGTTGTTCTTGTTGCTGTTGTTGTCAGCGATTGCGCGTACGACATTTATTAGTTTGAAAATCAGTGAAACGTAATTACGCACGGCAGCAACTGTTTAGCTTTTGTATCTGTTGCCCAGCTGTCTGAGGCTGCTGCTGCTCTCCTGTCTTCTTTGGTGCTATCACAGTTACGATTATTTAGTAATGATAATAATGGCCACGCAGTTTTACTTTCATTCGTAGTTGCTGCTGTTGCTGCTGTTGCTGCTTCCTGTTTCCGATTTGTTGCCGCTGCTGCTCATTAGTTGCGCTTGTCACACAGATAGATACTCACACACACAGCTGCTGCTGATGGAGTCTGCTGACGGATGTGGACGACCCTCTGTAAATAGACGACAAGTGAAGGAAAGAAAAATTATATAATTGCTATAATTTGATGTCGAGCTATATAATAGGAACACAGACGCAGCGCGCTTTTAGCTTTAGCGTGCTGCAATGTTTAAATGCATATAATTACATAAATTATGAACCGGTATCTATAAGATTCTACAACATAGTTGACGTCTCAAGTTAGTTGAACTGCAACTTTTGAGCATACCACCACGGCGGGCCGGCAGGGGCAGGCAGCCAAGCAGGCAGTTCGTCAACATATTCAGAAGCTTTAATTAACCTGGTCACGCAGTTTCCCTAGAACATGGCCAGCAATGACTGACAGAACGGAGAGCAGCATTTGGAGGGGAGCTAATGGCTAACCAGGCGACAAGCAGAGGAAATTGAAAAAGAACAAGCAATGGGAATTTAAAATAACTTTAAAACAAAAAACTATAAGCTTGTAACAGGTTCTTGCATATTAAACAAAGAAGAACAATTTAGCTATTTCTAAGAGCTAAAAGTAAGAAATATGCATTCAATAACATAACATACATATATTAAATATATACCAAAAATTTTATTAAGTAAATTAATAATAGTTCAAATAGTTACAGAATTAATGCAATCAATAAAATTAATATTATATGCAACAATCTATAAAAAATATAAATATGTAATATAATATATATGTAATATTAACTATACAACTATTAAAATTAATTGAAATCTTTCTGTAGTCGAACGATGCTTCCAATATTCTTTTAAGATATTAATATATTCTAATCTTAAATTATCATAATATAAATAAAATATATTCCAACAGATTGAAACAATTCTAATACTTTAGTTATTATCTTATTTTCAATTCAAAAGATTAATGATAATTCAAAAGTCCGGAAGTTGGTGAAATTTGAAGAGCAACTTTCTTTGAAGCATAAAACATAATGTTAACTGAGTGCCACAGATCGTTCTTCAAATCACAATCAAAATATTGTCGGTAAATAATTTAGTGTGAAAATATTTTGACTTTTATGGCCGCACTCGCGACTTACGACTTGAGAGAGCAACTGCCCATCTCTTAGATCTGCCGCTATGCAATCCACAGACATTACTCATAGAGCTCGTTCCCACAGCTCTGAAATTTTTGACTCACTTAGGGCTGACTAACTCGGACATAACTCAGTCACATCTTTTGCAGTGCTGACTAATTTAGACAAAAAACAAAACCAAAAGCAAAATAAAATAAAACGAAACGAAAACCAGTTTGGTTTTTTGTTTTCTGCCACTTGAGCGACACTTGAAGTGTACGTCAATTATGTGTCTACATATACATATGTATAGGTATATACGTATATATTCATCCACTCGGTTCGAGTATCATTCCCCACTCTGACACGCAATTAATGCGTAGCTCAAAGCAAATCGAAGATAATTACGGCTTGTCATAATTTTAATGAAGAAGGTCGCCCGAACTGAACTCGAGCCGGGCATACGCCCAGCGCCTGAGCAGCAGAGCAGCGGAGCGCCAAAGCGCCCGCAGTCCGATATAGATTCTATGAAATAGCAGTGGCTAACCCATCAACCACTACTAGGCCGATGGCCGTCCGGGCATTTGCGTATATTCGGTGTGCGGTTACATTTGATAACATGCCAAAAGTGCGTGGTGGACTGGCGGCGCCTTCATTTTCAATTTCAACACCCACCGCACCACACTGCACCGCCGCGCCCGCGGCAGCACATTTAAATCTTTAATGCGGCGCCATCGTAGTAGCAGTTGCCGGCCAGTCGCAGCGTTTGGTTAAATGTCAAACACGCAGCAATTTGTTATAAATAGCGCACTTCCGGCCTTAGATACACAACACCGAACTGCGAACAGCCAACAGCGAACAAGCAACAACCGGGCACACTTTGGAGTACTTTGGGATATGCGACTGTATTTGCACCAATTTGAGGCGCTTAGTCGCGTGTTGAAGTTGACAAAGGTCAACAAACGTACAAAGCGAACCGTATGGCAATGAGGGCAAACGAGCCAGCAAATTCGAGCGAAAAAGCTAATCCAGCGACAAAGTCGAGAAATTGATGCCCTCAAGGCAATTAGCGCAGAGACTTTTCCCAAAATTAGTAGCAGCTCAACTTGGTTTACTCCGACTAAAGTCGGAATCATCCACGAGGTTTGCTTATTTGTTTAAGCCAGTTGTTGCTAAATGAATTGGCTTGCATAAGCAATTCCTTTTTATATTTCCATGCGAGTTGAGATGAAAACTGGATTTTTCCTAAGAAACAGGATATATTTAGAGACAGAAAAAATTGCCCTGACTTGGCTAGAAAAGAAGTCTTATAAATGGATTAACATATACTTAATAGAAAAGTCTAGAAAATAAATTTTTGTTATGTTTAAATTTTTAAAATATATTTTTAGTTGTTTTTTAAATTAATCTGTTAAATTAGTTGGTTAAATTAGTTGTAAAATAATACAAATTTATATTATTGACTTTAATAAATTTTTAAAAGTAATTATGTTGTTTCAAAAATTAATAAAAAAAAACACTTTAATTTATTTAATAGATTCAAATAAATTTAAATAATAATACAAATATTTCTTTTTGATTTTAAAAATTTTTTAACTCTATCAGCATGTTAAATTTGAACCCCTGAAAGCCAAGCTACACCATCTCAGACTTAAGACCGACTCCACTCTAACTCTTATTTGCAACTAAACTCTCTAAAATATTGGAGCTTCAAAAGATCTTCCAAGTTTTCCGGCAAGATAAAGTCATTTTGATACAGTTATACCGACCATTTGGTGTTTGGCTATAGTTCTGTTATGTACGCCCGTAATTCCGTTAATGCATTCCTAACCTAATGACAAAGTTATTATGCCCGCTGTTATCAAAAATGTATCCAAAAGATACACAACAATGAGCTTGATGGGGCACTCCGAGTTTACAAGTTGTTGTTGTTGTTGTTGTTGCTGTTGTTGCTGTTGTTGTTGCGGCTGTTGTAAATGTTGTAGATGGCGCTGAGTGACGGCCGGCAACGTTAAATGACGTTGATTATAATTATGCGGACTTGTACTTTGTACGGAGCTGTCCGATGGGCCACAGGGCTGCCTTGCAGCCTGACTCTGACTGCTCATTGTTGTTGCTGTTGTTGTTGTTGTTGTTTGTTATTATTATTGCTGTCGTCATCATCATCATCATCGTCATCCGTATCCCATCCAGAACATCGTCATTGGCAGGCATTGTGCAGCCGGCGCTGCTGCTGCTGCTGCTGCTGTTGCTGCTGTTGATGGGCGGGCAGATGAATGATGTCGCTTAAATACAGACCGAGGCCGAGGCGAGGCCAATCGTCGATTGTCGTTCTTCCTCTACTGAAGCTGCTGCTGCTGCTGCTGCTGATGCTGCTGTTGCTGTTGCTGACAATCATAACAACAACGAGAACAACAAAAAAACAAAAACAACAAGCGCAGCCGTAAAATTCAAGCCAATTTAGCTTGAGGGGCTGGTCCGGCAGGTTCTTCTGGCCATAATCGAGCCCCGAACTGGACTGGGACTGAGACTGCACAGCATGTTGCTCCGACGACATTTATAAGTACGAGTATAATATTATTACTTGGCGAATTAACTACACAATTTTTTTCTTGTGTGTGTGTTTGTTTGTTTCTTTCATTTTTGCGAAAGCAAAACAAAGCCAGAGACTTGGCTTGCAAACTGGTTACAGGTCGCCTGACTGACTCTCCGCACTGACTCAGAGCTAAAAGGCACGAAATGGCTTCCGTAGACACACATTAGTCGCATTTACACAAAACGGAGTCGTCCGTCCAACGGACTACGGACGACGGACAACGGACGCTCGGACAATGATGGCCCAGGCAAAAAGATGTACTGAATGGGCATAAAAGCGTTCCAGGCGGCACAAAAAAAGCCATCGACAAAAAAGACGCCGAGAGAAAGAGAGGGAGAGGGCAAAAAAAAAAAAATGATACACAGAAGCTGCGGCGCAAGTAATAACAAAAACTGAATACAAGTCAAAGACTTTGTCCATGGCTTTCATCATTGCACGATTTGTAGGAAGCGTCGGCAATGGAAAAAGCTGCCGGTGCATTGCCTGGACAAGTGGACAAGTGGACAAGTGGACTCGGGCACTGGCAGTGGTTCTCTGACTCTCCGACTGTCTCTGGGGGTGTCTGCGAGCAATGGCAATGGCAGCCAAAGAAAACAACGTCAACGACATTGATGAGAATGTTCTGCTGTCGAACAGTGGAGCAAAGCCAAAGTAAAACTAATAGAATGCAAAATCAATTCCAATCTAATCCAAGCAACTAATTCATCATCTCATTACGCATTTCGCACTATCATCAAACTAATCACAGTTCCTTAATTATTTTCCATGCCCACATTCCCATAAAATTCCCAATATTCGTATGACTTTCACATTTTTTGGGGCGAGCATAATATTTGCAAATGCCATTCGCATTTGGTAATTAGCCATGCCCATTTCTTTAATAGGCCCCATACCCTGTAGCCATTAGGCTGTGGCTTCAACTATAGATAATGAAAAATGTGTGAGGCATTCGCTTGATTAGCATATGTTGTTGCAGCGCATCTGCTAATTGGGCAGCAGAACTCTTTCGTAGAGCTATTAGGTTGCCATCCCACTGTGCGTTAGGCTGCAGCCTCATGGCCAGCGCCTCGCCTTGCCACTCTGCTCTTGCGCGTTGAGCCCGTGCAATCTGCGACCGCAATATATGTTTTCATTTAGCAGCTACAAGCAGCAACCGACTAAGTGCAAGAGCTACCGGGCAGAGGAGCTGCAGCAACATCAACAACAGCAACAACAACAGCAGCAGCAGCAGCAGCAGCATCGGCATCAAATCGCTTCGGTTTTGCCCACTCGAAGATGCTTCATCATGCGCCATGTAATGCGTATGTGCTACGAGGAGCCGGCAGTCCGAGGTCTTTGCGGCTGGCTGCTTGATTATAAATATACATGTATGACATGTAAGTTGTG